ATATAATATTATATTATCTAATATATTATATTAGATATTATATAATAGTCAGATTGTTATTCTACCTGGTGAGATGGCAGCATCTAGCTAACTTTGGCTTATCTTGGAAAAGCTAAACAAGCTTCATCTCAGTTAATACTTGGATGAGACACCACTAGGAAATGTAGGCTAAAAAGCAACTCGGAAAGCAGCCGGAGAAACTACTGCCACATCTTTACCCAAAAAAGCGACATGGATGTGGCGATGAAGTCATCAGAGGTTGTGCACAAGATTTTTCTTCTTACTCTACAATTTTCAAGGCTATTTTGCCTCCCCCACCACCACCACCACTGGAAAGTTACTTGGCCTGAAAAAGGTTCCTGCATGCCTATCCCTTCAAAATTGCAGGTTCTATTTTTTTTTTTTTGCTTTGTATAGTATACTTAAAAGTGCTTTGTTGTAGCTCCCAAGGAAATGAGTTGGTATCTGAAAACGATTTCCTTTAGATATAGAATTTATTTGGTGAGTCACTGCTGTGAGGTTTCAAGTAACAGCTAATGGATAGAATGAGCAATACTTGGCTATTGGGAAGAAAAGAAACGCAGCCAGGAAATGAACAATTTCTTGCTGTGGGACAATGCTGAAAACCACCATGTTGCTCTTACTGACAGTTGGAGGCTAAGCAAAGAGAAGGATGCAGCATCCATTGTGTAGCTATTAACCTGTGCAAGTCTGGATTGTTGACTCAGGTAATCATAGATGCTCCTGTTCCATTTTGAGATTCCTGTTATCGGTGATCAGCATTATGGGTCTTAAATCCATAAGATATTTGCCTCGGAAGAATAGGAAACTCTGGATACATTTAAAAAAAAGTCAAACATCAGTTCATTATAACAAGGGGTCTTCATACTTGGCAACTTTTAAGACTTGTAGACTTCAACTCCCAGAATTCCTCAACCAGCAGAGTTGAAATCCACAAATCTTAAAGTTGCCAAGTTTGGAGACCTCTGTATTACAGAAGATCTACTATATAGATCCCTCATTGTTTTCAAAAGGCAGTTGTTTAGTTATTGCCTTTGAAGATCTTAACGATTACTAATACATACAAGTCATCAGTGAATTTCCTTTGTCTTTTAATTGTATGCAGGAAAACTTCCCATTCCTTCCTAATGAGTAAATAAATCAGCACATGCAGTGTCTTTCCTGTTGTAATGAATGGGTGTTCTCCAGTTTTCTCTGAGTCATGCCCAGGGGACAGCGCTCACTGTCAGTTGTCCACTTTCAAAAGGCTGAATCAGAGCCTAGTGATATACAGAAGTATTTACAAAAGCAGAACATCAAACAACTTCAAGGCTGCAGTCGGTTTTTTAATTCCTTGAGAAAGTTTTAGTGGCAGAGACCTTTAGATAAACAAAAATCGGATCAGGCTGAAAAATATGCAGATATGTCCCTGAATTCAAGAGTCAGTTTGCTTTCCTTGAGGTAGGAAAATCTTTCAAAATCCAGTCAACATCTAATCAATCATCCAGTCAAATCAACATCTAATCAATTTGCCAATCCCATTTGGCAAATCAAACGTATGTTCTCTAGTTTTCACATTTCACCTTTTTCATTCAGGAGCTCAGATGCAGGAGCTCTTGACAATTCTCACGTGTAAATTTCTTTCTTTGTCTCTCTTCCTTTTAGGCTTTGGGCTTTCTTTAGCAGTCGTAGCCCTGCTTGCACAGAATGGACCCTGTGGTCCTGAGTTACATGGACAGTTTGCTGAGACAATCGGACGTTTCTTTACTAGACCCTCCATGCTGGCTTAACGACCACATCATTGGATTTGCCTTTGAGTATTTTGCCAGTGGCCAGTTCCGAGACTTCTCTGACCAGGCCTGCTTCGTGGGCCCAGAAGTGGCTCAGTTCATCAAATGCACCACTGACCAGGAGGAACTGGCTGTGTTCCTTGAGCCCCTGGGCCTGCTGCGCAAGAAAATTGTGTTCCTGGCTATCAATGACAACTCCAACCAGGCAGCCGGTGGCACCCACTGGAGCTTGCTAGTGTATTTCCAAGACAAGGACAGCTTTGCCCACTATGACTCCCACAGCAGGTGTAACTCCGCACATGCCAAACAGGTTGCAAGGAATTTGCAGTCCTTCCTTGGCAAGAGGGGCAAAGTTGCCTTTGTGGAGGAGAAGGCTCCAGTGCAGCAGAACAGCTATGACTGTGGGATGTATGTGATCTGCAACACGGAGGCCCTGTGCCAGGAATTCTTCCAAGGGCAGCAGGAACCGGTGCTTCAGCTCTTGACTCCTTCGTACATCACAGGAAAGAGAGAAGAATGGAAAAAGCTCATTGCTGGACTCTCCAAGAAGTGACATGACTTTCCAGCGATTGGTCTCTTTTTTAAAAAAAAAAAAATCTTGTTCTCTGTGCCTGAGAGGAGCACTTGTGCACAAGACTGCTTTTTCCCTACAGAAAAAATGTACTTATCTTTGCACTTCTTCTGCACTGCATTATTCTGCAGTGCTAAGCCCTGGGAAATAGCGACGCCATCTTCCCTACAGTTTGGAGCAGCTGCCGCTTAGCCTAACCTCTGTATCCTCCCAAATCCCCACGATGCTCAAGTTCTGTGTGTGTGTGATCCAGTTTCAGTGATGTCAGTGGCAGAGACACAGCCTCTGTGCAATTACGGCAGCTTTCAGTGTCTCTCTTTCAGAAGCATCCCTGAATGTCTGGGAATGGAGATCAGATTTTTTTACGGCTGTAAAATTACTGTTATCGCTTATATCCAAAGCTTCAGTCTTAGGGCTGGGAAGCAGAGGTCCCTAATTCCTGCTTTTCTGAAAAGGAAGCGGGGTAAAGCTATTTATTGTGTGAAGTGTTTTGCCTGCCTCCAGTAACTATATGCTTTACTGTAGTGTGAGGAAGCCAAATTATTGTACAGTACAGTTGCCTTGAAGGCAGGAGAGTCAGCTCCTCTTTATTTCTAGCTCCATCTCCGCCTCCTGTTTATTTAACACGGTAAGGATTTTTTTTAAAGGTGCTGTACTTCTGAATGGATGATATGATGAAACTATTGAAGGGAAAGGAATTTTCCCTTCGGTATCGAGACCAGGGCCAGGGGGATATCTATCTATCCATATATCTCTACAGAAACTGAAATTTCTGCGTATCACTTTGAGCACTTTGACCTAGAGAGTGCCTTAATAGTGCACTGAATCTATTTCCCTAAATTGTATTCCGCTGGAGTGAAGTCCAGTAAGGCTTGGTTTTAATCAGTTACCCAACATTGCACCCTCGCATTTCTGGATATGTAATGGCAGGAGGACTCGAAGGTTTGGCGCAACGGAGAGCTGGAGTCACATTCCTTGAAAATTGGAGATGCAGACAACTGGCTGGTGTGCCAGTGGTTCTGTAGAAATTCAGCAACACGTTAGGAGAGAGGTTGTTATAGCCAATGAAGCAGTGGATCAGTGCTCATCCATTTCTCAAGCCTCTTCCATGGTTGTGCGATGTAAATTTGCTTCCTTCTGCTGAACATTTGGCTGGGCTGAAAAAAAGTAACCTATTTTGTTTGGTAATGTGCCAATCCAGGTGGTATAGCCTTACAGCCTATATTATCTGAGGTCGTTTCCCCCACCACCACCCCCGCATTAAATCTTGTTTTATTGATTCCTGATGGATGCTGCCTCAGCAACGATCCTTTTTCAAAACGCTGCGCAAGGAGCATCTTCAACAGGATTTAAGTAACAAATTCAGTTGTTTTACCGTATGTTGAAACTGTTGGTCAGAAGCACTTGATAATTTCTCTTATTTGCATAATTGCATTATGTTTGGGAAAAACCTTCGGTCAAAAATTAAAAAGAAAACCTCTGAAAAGCCATGCGAGGTGGCATTAAGTCTTGTTTTGTTTCCATACAATTGTGGAATCTACACCTAGCTGGAGAGGGAGACAGCCACTTAGTTCTGGAGATATTTTCTGTAAGATGAAGAAGCTTCTGCAGACCACGATGGATTGTTAAGAGTTCAGTTTTAGCACATTAAAATCAAGGATGCCTTCAGAGGCATTTTTGAGGCAGCTCCTTCATTCAGTCATGAATTCTAGGACAGCATCAGAGGCACCATGAAGCCCTCCCATGTGGCTGCTTCTCTCTTGCCCCCAAACAACAAAAGGGAAGTCTTTAATAGCTCCCCAGGAACTCTTTGGTAGCAATCTACTGTTAAAACCCAGGTCCTTTCATTTGGGTATTTTTAGCAGCAACCTTCACCTTAAAGGCAACTTGTCATAATTACTAGATTGTCAGCTTCCTTATGGTGCAGCAGCATGAAAATTCAAGTGTTATGCCATGGTGATAGAGAGGGGAGGGGGGAGAGAAAAAAAAAAGATCTTGGCCCTCCTACGTCTGTAAACAGAGAATTCAGAATAAAAGAATGTGGGATTAAAGAAAGTAACCAAGGCCCTATGCAGATTAATTTCAGTTTCTGCACCAACTATTGAGTGCCTTCACATCCACCCAGGACAGGAATAGCAGAGAGACACTAGAAATGACCAATGAAGTCAATTTGGATCATTGTTGCATCACTGGAAGTGTTTTCGGCTCTCAGCTGGGTTGAGGGAAATGCACTCCTCTAAATGTCTTATGAGTGGTTGTCCCAAAGGGTGCTAGAGCCGAGGTGGCGCAGTGGTTAGGGTGCAGTACTGCAGGCCACTTCAGCTGACTGTTATCTGCAGTTCGGCGGTTCAAATCTTACCGGCTCAAGGTTGACTCATCCTTCCGAGGTGGGTGAAATGAGGACCCAGA